CATTTCAGATAAGCTGGACACTCACCGCAGACCCAGATCTGGGCAAGATAGAAGCTTTGGAGACCTGCTCGGAACCAGCAGCTTGCCCTAATCAATCCCAGGGCTGCGCCAAGGAGACGGGAAAGGTTTATTTCCCAATTCTTCACAGCCAGGGGAGTCAGGAAGGAGTCATTGACTCCAGCCTCGCAGCACGCGTGAGTCAACAGGCGCCGCCCCCAGAGGGCTGCTGGGCAGCCTGGCCTTGACCTCGGCGGCTGCAGGCTCTCCTCCTACCTGGGAAAGGTGCAGGGAGAAGGTGGGCGGCCCTGCTTGCAGGGGCGTGGAGGGGGAGAGGACGCAGGGCTGCGCTGGTGTGGAGGAGCGTGGAGAGGGAAGCGGGAAGGAAGGGCAGCCCTGGAGAGACGGCCTCTGCCCTTGACCTGACACCTTTGAGGCCTGGTTTTCGGCGTTGATCTGAACTAAGCCAGTTGTTCTCAATATTGTGTATAAGCCTGTTAATACACTTTTGCAATTCAATTCCTGAGGGCACCGCCCCCCTCCTACTGCGTACTACAGGGAATACATAAATTGAACTTGGGATGCGGGATTTCGAGGTGACGGGGCCGAGGGAGCCGGTCTGTGCACGGAGTGCACTCCTGCACTCTGTGGAGCCCCGAGTGGCAGCGCCCCGATCTGGAGCTGGGGGAGGATCCTCGGCCTGTCTCCTGCACCCTCCTCCCCGGAATGCACTCCCTCACCGCCCAGGCTCCGTCGGGGGACGGTGGGAATGGTCCACAAATGATCTAACTTGTCACTGGAGAGAAAATAGCCCGAATCTGTGGCCCCGGCGTCTCAGCCCCTCAGCCAAACATCATCCATCACATCATAAACGCTCACTTGCCAAAGAGGGGGTTGAAAATCCAAACCAGATCCTCTCCCTGTTCTCCAGCGCGCTGCACCGCGGGGGCCAAGTTTCCAGCAAGCACAGTCATTGCCGTGGGGGCGTGGGGGGGTCGGAGTCTGATAAGGGAGACCTCCTAGATTTCACGTGATGGCTTTGGCAGCATTCGCCCCCCCCCATCCTGGGGCTGCTCAAAAGACAGGGTGAGGAGCAGAGGCCAGGGGAGCTGGGCACCCACTTCCCACCTGGCGGGCCTGGCCCCACCAGCACAAACTCACAGGGCCACAGACCGGCCTTTGAAATCACAAGCATGGTGTGGGGGAGGGGGGAAGGTTAAGCTAGGGACCCCAGGAATCCAGCTTTCCTTGAACCCCCAATGGGTCCTTCCTGGGAAAGGTGCCGGGCTGTGGAGCTGCAGGCCAGGCCTACACATTTTCTTTCCTTCTCATCATCTGACTTTTTTTTTTCTTTTGCTGATGATTCCAAAATTAAATGCTGAAATGTTTAAAAAAAAAAAAAAAAAGAAAGATACTTCATCTGACCCGTGGAGGTCGGGGGAGAAGCCAGAGGAGGGGGGGAGAAATCAGAGCAAATGCAATAATGAAGTTAGTTTAGGGGTGTGTGGAGCTCTGAAAATCCGCCCCCCGCCCCCGGGACCCTCCGGCTTCTCTGTGGCTCTCCTGAGCCTGGCCTCCTGACTAAAGATGACAGGCGTGTGCGCCCTGCAGTCCACCCGAGACTTCCCCGCGGCTTTGCCTCCAGGCCTGACAATTGGGCTTTTCCAGGCAGGGCGCTTGGCCAGACTAAGCTTGTCTCTCTAACTCATCCAGCCAAAGGCTTCCTCTGGGTCCCGGTGGCTCAGGACACAGCCTCTGCTCCCACGCCTGTACTAGCCAACAGGGGAGGGAGGCAGGGAGGCAGGGAGGCCGAGCCTGCGGGCTTCCATCCTGACTGCAGCTTTGCTCTCCACAAAACTCACCCTTTCCTCTGAGACTTCGTTCCTTCTCCCCACCCCGACCTTTGTGAACAGTGAGAGGACAAAGTCAGGGCTCCTCAGACTCCAGCATGGTTATGATTGGGGTGTTTATACCAGCCCTCCGTCAGAGGAAGGAGATGGGGAGGAGACGGAGAAGAGGAAGGAGCAGAGGTGGATGGAACACAGACCGAGGTTCGAAACCTTGCCTGTGGCCACCGTGCAAAAGGAAAACAGGGAAGCAGGCATCATGCAAGAGGTCACTGAGGAGCTTGGAACAGAAGTACCTCAAAACGATAGATAGACACAGAGCGCCAGCCTGGGCCGAGAAGAGCTCCCACGGATACTTAAAGTAAGGCAGAGAGAACTGTGTGGAGAAGAGGAAGGAAGGGGGAGGGAGAGCCACAGGGGGGGAGTTAATCCTTGAAGTCAAAGCAGGCCCCCCACACGCCTTCAGGAGGAAACCTAACACTCCTAACTTTACGCAGCCCCTTAAGCACCAAATCCAAAACTCTTTGCTTGTATAACTCAGATTAAAGATGAAATAACAAGACTTGTAAGAGGCTATTTAGATGGAGCAAGGAGCGATGGATTTATCAAAGCCCGGCAGGTGAAACCAGTGCTCTTCAGAGGAAAGACCTGGAGCCCCCAGTGCATGGATTTAGGAAGCTGGGCACCCCAAGCTGAAAGAGCTACCTTCCACCTTTCTGTGTTCCTGAACTAAGAATATAGGAAGGGGAAAAAAACCCTAAAACTTGTTTCTTATTTTATGTGTTTAGGAGAGTTATATAAATTGGAAGCAAAATACAATTCTCTAAAGTTGATTGATAAAATCAAAAGATCTATTTTTTAAGAAAGAAAAATAATATGACCATCAGACTTTTAAATGAGAAAACACACAATTAAAAGGCATTAAAGCCAGGTGCCAGTGGCACACGCCTGTAATCCTAACTACACAGAAGGCTGAGATCTAAGGATCACAATTTGAAGCCAGCCGAGGCAGGAAAAGTCCATGAGATTCTTCTCTCCAATTCATCACCAATAAAGCTGGACATGGAGCTGTGACTCAAGTGGTAGAGTTCTAGCCGTAAGCAAAAGGAAAAAAAAGCTCAGAGATAGCACCCAGCTCCAGGCTGGCACACACACGGAAAGCAAAGGTAGGGGCAAAAGGATTTTGAGTTCAAGACTAGCCCAGGAAAAAAACAGCAGGAACAAAAACAAAATAAACCTACCCAAAGTACACTGCATGGAATCATCACAATGAAACACCCATGTGCTATCAAAGCATACGAGTAAAAAGCTCAAAAAAGAAGTAAATAAATAAATAAAAATAACAGTGGTGGATTGCTTCCTAGTAAGTGCAAGGCCCTGGGTTCAGGCTACAGTAGCATTAAAAATAAAATATCCAGGCACTGGTGGCTCACACCTGTAATCCTAGGTACTCAGGAGGCTGAGATCTGAGGATCATGGTTCAAAGTCAGCCCAGGCAGGAAAGTCCCTGAGACTCTTATTTCCAATTAACCATCAGAAAACCGGAAGTAGCGCTGTGACTCAAGTAGTAGAGGCTCACCTTGAGCTGAAGAGCTCAGAGACAGTGCCCTGGCCCAGAGTTCAGGCCCTACAACCGACATAAAAACAAATAAATGAATAACTTTTAAAAATTTCAAAACAATATAGATAGATAGATCTCCTTAAGCTAAGGGACATAAATAATAGCTTCTTGATGATAAAAGAAAATATCATATACAACTTTATTGCAGTATAAATTACAAAAATTCCCAGGACTCAGGAGGCTGAAGAAGGATCTCAGCATTCAAGGCTGGCCTGGCCTATATAGAAAGATCTGTCCTCAAAGTGCCAAGATAAATAATTTACTACTCCAAGTTTATAGGATTTGGGGAGCCTGAATAGATCTGAATCCATGGAAAGAAAATGAGAGGTAGTGCAGGGTTTATCGCAAGGTGAGATGGTACTGCAGAGGAATTCCAAGAAACGCACAAGGAGCAGGTGGCGAGCCCGGAGAATTGGAGCAGGACCGTCCAGCTCCGGTACACACAGCTAGTTAATACTTCCACCAGCAAAAGATGCCACAGAAATAGAGCCCTCTGGACCAACAGCAGCTACAAAATAGAAAAACTCTAAATGAAATATTAACAAATGAGTACCAGGGTACCAGGAAACCGACGGCTACACCTCACTCTGCTAGGTTTTAAGATAAAGCCGTATCTCTTCAGATACCCTATCTCTCTCATGAGAGAAATGTTAAAAGCCTTTGATAAAATTCAACCAACAACTCCTCTCTAAAACAAATTGAAAACATTAGAATTCTTGGAAAGCCAAGAGTGAACCCTATTTACCATAATCTCTAGCAAACAGCGGTACTGGGGGTAAACAATTGGAAAGGTTTCCTTCCACAGGAGGCGTGAAACTCGTGTCACGCCAGGTGTGGTGGGACCTGCATATGTCCCAGCTACTGGGGAAGATGAGGAAAGAGGATCGGGGAGGATCCCTGGAGCCCAGCAGTTCAGAGCCAGAGAGCCTGAACAACGCCGTGTGTGTGTTTATGCATGTATGCGTGTGCGCGTGCACCCATGAATGCTTGCATGCATGTGTAGAGATCGGTGAACACTACCTGCAGCCTCACCACTTAGAAGAAATCGCTATTAACATGTTGGCTGGGACAGGAGTCCTTCCAAACCATAGCAGTCTTTAAAAACTACTTTATTGTATTGAAAGTGCAATATTCTATATTGAGAGAGAAAAAAAAAAAGACAAAGCCATTTTTAAAAAAAGCATCTTTGCCAGTTCATCCCACCGATGAGCTGGAGTTGGAGGTAGACTCGCCGAGGACAGGCTGGCCCTGGAGTGTGGAGCACCAGCCACACAGGCTCAGGCCCGGAGGGAGCACTGAGACTCTTGCCTTCAGTTCTATCCCCCAACTTTTTACCTGTTTGTGGCTCTCACCTCACTTCCTCACTGTGTTTGTGAAGCAGAGCAGAGGGCAGGTATAGCCGAGTGGTATCGGCCTGCCTGCGCCCAGCAGGTGCAAAGGCCCTGGGCGCCACACACAAAAACCCCCGCAGGTGCTGCCCAGGCCCACAGAGCACCCGACTGACCCTCCTGTTGTGGTTTCCGATTTCCCCCCAGACCGGCCGGGCCTGCTGAATGTGAAGCCTATCGAGGACATCCAGGACAGCCTGCTGCAGGCGCTGGAGCTGCAGCTGAAGCTGAACCACCCCGAGTCCTCCCAGCTGTTTGCCAAGCTGCTGCAGAAAATGACGGACCTCAGACAGATCGTCACGGAGCACGTGCAGCTGCTGCACGTCATCAAGAAGACGGAGACGGACATGAGCCTCCACCCACTGCTGCAGGAGATCTACAAGGACCTGTACTAGCCGCAGGAGGCTGGGCTGGGCAACGCCGCCCACTTCCACTTGCACTATTATCTCCAGCCAAAACAAATCCAACACCTAAGAAATTTACTGTGAACAAAAGCATTAAAAAAAAGCGGAAGGTTTTAGAATATGATCTATTTTATGCATATTGTTTATAAAGATACCTTTACAATTTACTTTTAATATTAAAAATTACCATGCTATGAAACTGAGGAGAGTCTTGGAAGGCTGTGTCTGGTGTGTTCTCCCCCCCAACCCCCCACCCCTCATCCTGCCCTCCCCAGAGGCTTCTTTTGGTCCCTTCCTCCCTTCTTTCTTGGCCATTTAAAAAAATATGAATGGAAGCCGGGCGATGGTGGCTCACGCCTGTCATCCTAGCTACTCAGGAGACTGAGACCTGAGGATCGCGGTTCAAAGCCAACCTGGGCAAGAAACTCCGTGAGACTCTGATCTCCAATAAACCACTCCGAAAACCAGAAGTGGTGCAGTGGCTCAAGCGCTTGCCTGGAGCTGAACTGCTGAGGCACAGCGCCCAGGCCCAGAATTCAAGCCCCACAACCCCCCCAAATATATATATATATATATATATATGAATGGAACTACTGATAGACTTTGTTCTCTATGAATTATTTTCTTTCTTTACTCACAACTTTTATAAACTCCCTGTCTGCCTTAATCACAACTAAGAGAGGGAAGGAAACTTTAGAACAAAAGAGGCTCAAGCAGAGTTTGACCATCATTTGTACCCTTGGGCTTGCCAAGAATTCCATCCTTTCCCGCAGTGCTGAGATTCCTCCTCACCACCGGCAGCCTGTCCTGTGCACAGCCCGCGGTACCCATGGGCTTGTTCCAAGGTGTGGAGTTGAGGTCCCTGATAAAAACGCATGCATGTAGCCTGGCACTTCCTGGGTGCTTCAATGAACAGTCTTCTTTTTTCTTTTTCTTTTTATCAGTCCTGGGCTTGAACTCAGAGCCCCAGTGCTATCTCTAAGCTTCTTTTTGCTCAAGGCTAGCGCTCTACCACTTGAGCCACAGCATCACTTCTGGCTTTATCTGAGTAGTTTATTAGAGATAAGAGTCTCATGGACTTTCCTGCCTGAACTGACTTCAAGGCACGATCCTCAGACCTCAGCCTCCTGAGTAGCTAGGATTACAAGTGTGAGCCACCGGCGCCGCTGGGCACTGCTAGGAGCTCTGGGTTTAAGAAATGGCATCTGCAAGAAAGAACTGGCAAGTGAATCCTGGAGAAAGCGAGTCTTTCTTCAGACAGCTTCGCACGTGGGTGGCCAGGACGGAGTTGCGGCGGGCGGGCGGGCGGGCGAGGTAGGTGTTGTGGGACTGAAGCCGGGCATTCTGGAGAAGTGCCCCCAGAGGAGGCGGCAGTCTCTGTTGGCCGAGGGCAGCCTCGCTGTCCTTCCGCTCAGCCTCCCTGAGAACCCTGGCCGGGAGATCCCCTCCTAAACCCAAGGACTTGCACAGTGCACGCCTCCCCACCCGGGAGAGAAATGTCCCCACAGGCAGGGACCTTCTCACTACAATCAACACTGTTGACCAAAGCCAGCCAGTTCACAAGCAGGACGCCTCCGGTCAGGTCTCGCACGGGAGTCCTATACCACCAGACGCCTTCCTCCACCTGCACTGACCTCGGTGATTTAACTTTTTTTTTTTTAAGCCTTTTACCATCTTACCCTTCAGGCTTTTCAGCCAAAACATCAAGAGAGATCTTTGTGGTGGTAGCAGTGGTTTTTTAATCCTCCAACGTATCTGCAAAGAGTCCGCGTGAGTCTTGATCACAGCCTTGAGGAGGTAGACGCCCGAACCACCTCAGAGCCTGGGCCTTGCTGCAGCAAAGCCACGTGGGAGCCAGAGACCTGAGCCGTAGTCTAAGTGACAGCCAACCATTTGTTTGGGAGGAAGGTACCACATTCGGCCTGCCAGATGATGGTGGCTGTTTCCTGCCTTGAGGCGGGTTATGAACACATCTGGGTGGCTGACTCTGGGCTTTGCAGCCTTGGTTCCAGGGAGATGGGAAAGCAGAGGAGCAGACTGGGCCCAGGTAGCACCTCCGGAGGCCCCCCTTGTTTACAAGGTTCTCACACAAAAAGCCTTTCAGCTCTTGCCTGTTCTCCATTCCCACCAGCAATCCCCAGCCATCCACACTCTGTAGCTGGCCTTGCCAACCACTGACAGAGAAGGGGGGGAGAGGGAGAGGGATGGGGGGGGCGCTCTTTGGCACTGCTGGTTAGCATTAAATAGCTTTTAAATCCTGGCAGCTCTCACATTCCCCTCTCCCTAACTTCTTCCCTGTGGCTTGGATGATCATTTGCTAAATATTTTACAACACATTATATTCAGCTCCAAAGCTCCCGCCGCCTGCCCCTCCCCTCCCCCCTCCCAGCCCAGCCCGGCAGGATTCACAAGTTAATCAACACGAGTCTCCTCGTTAATCAGAGCACTTGCCCTGGACGCGAGCACACACACACACACACACACACACACACACACACACACTTGGGGAGTTGTGTTAACAAAATAGGAAGAAACGTAATGTTGGCCACAAGTCAAAAAAAAAAAAAAGAATTCCAAGGCTCACTGGACGAGTTCTTGCCCCAGTCTGTGAGGGGACTGAGGGGCAACCAGGGACCTGCAAAGATGCTGCGGCCCACACCCCAGTTCTCCAGCCAGGATGGAGACCTGGGCTGACCTGAGTTTCTGGCTTCTGTTTTTAAAGCTGGGGACCTGGGGCAGGACAGCGGGGGGGGGGGGGAGCGAGAGGAGGCCGGTTGGTATCACCCTGCCAGTCCCCAGTGAGAGGTCTGGGGACACAAACCAAAGTGCTGGCCACATTAGTGCCACTGAGGGAAAGATCGCAAGGAGGGTCCTGATTCACTTAGTTACTACTAGATTCCAGCGACTTTCTGGGCTTCTCCAAGGCCCCCAAAGGGAAGTTCTTTGTGTGGACCAGGCCCTGACTTGCCTGCTATCTTCTGTGGACCGTACGACGCTGATAAAGGATGGTGATGGATGAGAGGGGCTGGAAAGGGGTGGGGAAATACGCCTGGAGAGCTGGGGTTGAGACGGGGCTCCAAGATCATAGTCTGATCCCACCATGATCCTCCGCATCGCTTCCTCGCCTCTCACTCACTGGAAGTTTGCAGTTGTGAGAGCAAAAGGCCAAGATATGCGTTCTTTCACTAGGTAGACACTTCCTTATTTCTTTTCCATCATGTCTGCTTCATCATTCAGCAGCAGCATCATTCAGCATCATTATTATTATTGGGTTGGTCATGGAGCTTGAACTCAGGACTTAGGCACTGTCCCTGAGCTTTGCTGCTCAAGGCTAATGCTCTACCACTTGAGCCACAGCTCTGCTTCCAGTTTTGGGGGGTGGTTAATTGGAAATAAGCGTCTCACAGATTTTCTCCCCAAGCTGACTTGGAATCATGATCCTCAGATCTCAGCCTCCTGAGTAGCGAGGATTACAGGCGGGAGCTGCAGGTGCCCGGCTTGCTCCTGCTTCTAACGCGGTCACTTGCTGTCTCCGTTTGCGTGGCTGTCACTATTATTTGTGTGCCCTCCTCACTTCACTGTGACCGTACAGTTTCCCCTCCATGCAGCATGCACTGGTAGTCCCAGAGGCTCAGGAAGCTGAGAGAGGAAGCATCCTCAAGTTTGGGAGTTCAAGTACAGCCTGGACAAAACAGCAAAAGCCCATGTCAAAAATAACTACCTATAGGGGTCGAAATCATGGCCCAGGTGTGTAGAGTGCCAGCCAGTGAGCAGAAGCATCACATACTAAGTTCAAGTCCTGGTCCCAGACTAAAAGAAGAAGAAGAATGACAACATAAAAGGCAAGATTGGGCCGGGAAGGTGGCTCAGTGGTAGAGCACTTGCCTCGCATGCATGAGGCCCTGGGTTTGATTCCTCAGCACCACATAAGCAGAAAAAAAAAGCTAGAAGTGGCGCTGTGACCCAAGTGGTAGAGTGCTAGCCTTGAGCTGAAGAGCTGAGGGACAGCGCCCAGGCCCAGAGTTCAGGCCCACGACTGGACCCAAAAAAACAACAACAACAACAAATGGCAAGATCTTGAGTTCAAAACACACGGCCAGCGTGTAGTGTCACCCAGTGATGGAGCACGCAGTCTGGGTGTGACAAGCATCCAGGAATGAGGGGAAGGAGGCTGGCTGGCCCTGCTCCCCTGAGGACTCTCCATGGGGCTGAGTAGCAACAGCCCAGGGTCAGAGACCAGTCATGATAGTCAGGCGGGACTCCCCGCTAGAAACCGGGGTGCTGCTGAGAAGAGGGAGGTGATCAAATCTGAGATTTGGGAGGTGAGCCTCCCGTGAGACTTCCCTCCCCTCCCAGCCCGGGACAGCTGCTGGAGGACAGTGGGGCTCCCTCGTGGACACCCCGGCCCCCACACCCCACGGGGCTCGTCCTGCAGCCGGGGGCTCATGCCCTCCTCGGGCTCTATTCCAGTCACCACCTCTCAGCCCAGCGCAGGCACACAGGCCACAGGCTCAGACAGGGAGCTGCCGGCCCTCCTCCCCTTCTCTTCCCTGCCCTGACCTACAGAGCTCCTGCGTCCCAGCGGCCGACCATCCCACAGTCGCATCCAGTCCCCTGGGCCAAAGCCTGCCAGTCCCTCACTCCCTCACCAGAAAGATCTAGACTTCTCTAGAAAATTAGTCTCACTGGCAGAGCATTTGCCCAGCACGTGTGAGATCTTAGCAACACACACACACACACTATTCTAGAAAATTACAGTTTGGAGGAGACAACCACCTCACTGGCCAGAGTAGGACCCTGAAGATAAAGAAGTTGTGCCATGGCAGGCGCCGGTGGCTCACGCCTGTGATCCCAGCTACTCAGGAGGCTGAGATCTGAGGATCACAGTTCAAAGCCAGCCTGGGCAGGAAAGACCGTGAGACTCCTATCTCCAATAAACCACCAGAAAACCGGAAGTGGCGCTGTGGCTCAAGTGGTAGAGCGCTCGCCTTGAGCTGAAGAGCTGAGGGACAGCGCCCAGGCCCAGAGTTCAAGCCCTACAACTGCCACAAAAAAAAAAAAAGAAGTTGTACCATGTGCCTAAACTCGGGTCAACTAGGAGTGAGTCACTCAAAGGTGTTTATCACACACCTACTTCCTTCCTACAAGGGGCGGGGCGGGGGGGGCGCTCAATGGAGAGATCTGGAAGGGCAGAGTATG